CATTCAATTAGAAGTTTGGCTAAGCATATGGAAGCCGCCAAATGAATCATTGTCATATTTCCGGTGAGGAACTGGGGCTAGCATAAAGTCGAGACTCGCGTTCCCTCGCAGTCAAACGTCTGAGGCTGCTTGTTTTTGTTTGTTTGTTTCAGTTTCAATCGACCTCTTTTACCAGTCAGTGTAAACATGGACAATTAATTCGTTAACGTAACTATCGTTTCATTTTTCTGAAAACTTAATTGACTTTTTTCGTTTTTAAACGCAGGGTGGCAATATCACCATGGCTTCGGTTGCCAAAAACTAGAAACTGTTTTTTAGTAAACTTAAAAAAGTCTAGTAAACTAACAGGGTATTGATAATAGCTTAAACTTTCAAAGCCAAAGAAGCAAAAAACAGCCAAAGTACAAACCTTAGCTTTGAATTACCTTGCTTATTTAAGCTTTAAATTTCTCCCTCAGTTTGACCCCTGTGAAGACCTCGTGTGGAATGACTTCAGTTGTCGCCCCTTTAGTCGCGACTGAAAAGTACTAACAAGTTAGTGCTGACAGCATGGTCATTGTTTTTACACCACATTTTACGATTTAACAGTATGTTTAGTTATTTTTGATGGTAATATTATTGAGAAGTTTACTTTTAACGTTTAATTAAGATTTTACGGATCGGAAATTCGCACTGTCTAGGTTAATGGTACAGCCAAATTGACTTGCCAAGGAAAACTTCTGGAAGCAATGGGACATCTAAAAATAAAAATCTAAAACGTTTTTTCAAACAGATCTAGACTACAAATGGATTAATTTATCTTTCTTAAAATATTTTACAGGCTGTGAATTCACTAAATTAAGGACTACGGTAAATTAGTTGTCTGTGAGCTTGCTTACTTGCCGTAAGTGCTTCAAGATAAACCATCAGTGGATTTCTTTAAAGCACTTGCCTAAACTCAATCTGTTTTTTTGCACACGAGTAAGCAAATCTCAGATCTTCCAGCCACTGGCAATCAAACGCGCCCAAGTAGATAAACTAGCCTGATCAGTAGTCAAGTGCAAATTTACCCTAAAACAAAACTTGGAGCAGACGGAGTATTTTCTATGCCAAACTGGTAGAATGGATACTGCGTTTTAAATTAATATGCCTTTTCAAGGTTGTTCGGGTCAGTCTGGGTGATGTCCGTCTTAATTAAAAGCCTGGTAAGCATGGTTTATAGAAAACCGTGGGAGACTTGAATAAACTTCAAGGACAGTAAATCGAGTTTAATGCTGTAAAATTTTCAGGGGCACGCAACGAACACTTTTCTGAAAATGAGCCGTTAACTACAGAAAACGAAAATTTAGATGCTTTTAAGGCATTTTCAAGCGCTTTTCTGTGTTGCTGGAAAGAATTTATCTGTTCCTCACTCCCAGCAGGTTAGATGGCTATTCTCCCAGCCAGCAGAGCGGCCTTCTCCATGTTTACCAGCCAGCAGGAAAAAAAAAATCTGTATTCAAATAAGCGCAGCAGGGTTGCTTGGAAATTGCGGCGCTGATTCGAGTATATACGGTCAAAATAAATAACACACAGCCTTATCTCTCACTTGTCAACCAAGAATAACAACAACTACAATGGTAATGAAAAGGGAACGTCACTAAGCCTTCCCTAGATGTACCTTTTGTGAATCCTATTCAGTCCGACTTGAATAAAATACATCAGGCTGTTTAATAGTCCTTACCTTTTGCATAAACATGAATCTCATGAATCGTCCTAACCGCCAGTGAATCGTTGCCAGTTATCCAGTGGCGGAGCGTAGTCTGATTTCGAATTTCTAACAACGGTGCCCACGTGCAGATTTTTTGATCAGCGGTAAATAAATAATCAGCGCGCGACTCAGCGCGCACAATTCGCGCACATAGAGGAGCAACCTGAGAGGAGCCGATTACTCCTGATACCCAGCTGGATATACACCCAAGAAAAATTTCTAACAAATTAGAGGGATAAAATATCTCCAGCAAGAATTTTTAATACATTTGATAAATTCTTGACCGCAGATTTAAGACTTTACTTCCCAGCAGAACAGCCGAAACCTCAGTTCCCAGCCAGCAAAATTTTCTCTGTAGAACAGATATTGTGAGGAACAGATCCGTTGGGTGCCCCTGAATTTTGTTAATATCTTTTAACGCAATGCGGTAAAATGCAAAACTGAGTCTGAAACAAAGATTTAGTCCGAAGCTTTTCACTCAGAGAAAATCGCTTGTTGAATAATAGCAAGAAACAAGGGATGAAAATTCAAATGGGACACATTTTTAACAGTTTACTTACTAGCTCTGCTACAGCTGTAGTTTAGTGCTTCAAGAGATCTGCTTCGACATTCCAGGCTTAGATTGAACGCGATTCTTGAGACAGCTACGCTTGCGCAATAATCAGTGGAACATTTCCATACTAAGTATATTCCGTTTTGTTAAGTCACGTTCAAAAGAGAAAAAAAAATACAGATAATGAATATTCTCATTTGCTGCTGACAAGTAATGAGAGGCGTTACAAAAGCAACAAATAAATTTTCATATCGTGTTAGTTATTTAAGCACTGTATTTTGGCCATGCGATGAAAGCAGCTGCTACTGACATCAGAGTTTTCGTCAAGCGATAAAAAAAGCGAGGCAGTTTGTTTACAACGGTCAAGGACTAGTCTGATGCTCAAGCTGAGCGTTGCATCGCTCACGTGTTTAATGTCATGTTTTAACGCCTCGAAGGGAGAAGATTAAAAAATGAATCGCTTCATTCGGTGCCGACAGCTAATGAGGGGCTTACAAAACAGAATTCCAAGTAAGAAAATGTTAATACCGTTTTCATTATTTTAACACCATATTTTGGCACGAAATGAAGAAAAGGATGCGTTAAGAAGCGAAGAAATTTTTTTGCAGCAGCAAATTTCAAAACTTTTGGTGCTTATTTTAGGTTCGAAGTGCAAGGCTAAGTTTGATAGAGAGTTATTAACGCGGGACAACCTTCACACTTAACTTGCTTAGGCGGCTTCTTTTGAACTATGCACAACAAAACAGTAATTAAAAAATCAAAATAGCTGGTATTCAGCCGGCCGCTCAAGTCCAATTGTATTATTATCATGATTCTCTTTACTCAACTGCATTTCACAGGCTTCGGCACAATCAGCCGTAAAATAGTTCAGCTTGAAGAGATCAATCATGGTTAATTTCACTGAAAAAGATTATTAAAATGTTAACTTTTTTCAGTTATCTCATATGAATTGTAATGCATAATAGCTAAACTACCGTAGTTCAGTCGTAGATTCCTCACAGTCTCTCATGTTGGAGGGTCATGAATTTCTTAGCTGCCAGCTTTCTTTAGAATATAATGGCATTAGAAGGTAACGAACAAAGATATTATCTTTATCATTAGCATTTTTTCTCTTGCTATTAGAACATCTTGCTTATCTTTAAAAGTAAAATGGCTTTACAGAAAAAAAATTCAAATAGGTCGGAATTCTTCTTTTTGGGGCATATTTCGCATGGACGTTTTACGCCAAGACACTGGAAAACCGGCCGCGCTGCAATCGATTCCTTAATCAAATTCCTTCACTATGATTTGAACTTCGATGTTCAATTCGACAAAACTAAAAAAAGAATTAGAAATAAGTGCAACTAAAAACCCAAGGGAATATGAATGGCTGGGAAGTACTGTCCCTTGAGTTTGCTGCCCAATGGTAATACACTTTGGTTTTGGAACTTAATCAACAATTGCAGGATCTCAATTTTCTGGCTATTTTCTACATTCCGCTCGTGGAACATAGATTTTTCTCCCACCAGAAATATTAAGAAATTAAACTAGACCATGCGTGAAATAGTTTTAACCGCCAACCAATCATATTTCTTGATCTTACATATCATGTTTTGTCCAGTCAGTATGGAGAAATTATTTTCCTGAAAAAGTTATGATCCTCTACAGCAAAGTTAATCAAACTCCTTGACGGTAGCTAGCAAGGGGCTCCGGTTTGATTTCAAATCCATGATAAAAAACTCTAAGCGGAACTGCTTAAGGCAAGAAAACTTGTTTAAATTTGCCTTCAGGGAGTAGTTTGGCCGCCAAGGCGACACACCTTACTTAGTTCTTTATTCATGCACCGAAACAGAATTAACTCTGCGATTCTTAGTATAATTCTAAGATGTGTAAGGGCACGTAAGAAATAAACTAGAGAGAAATTATATGGTGGGATATATTTCGCGGTGTAAATTATTGTATTTTTTGTGTAGATTCGAGTTTCATGGTAATATTTTAAGAATCAATCAACAGAGAACTAAAAATAGCATAGAGAAAAGGGAAAATGATGTCTCCATCGTCAAGCAGCAGAACAACGGATAATGTCTAACAATTTTTTTCCTGCTCTTAGAGAAAATTGCTAAACTCTTTTCTAACTGCGCAGCTTATTTTCAGATAATATTTATTTGTTTCTATTTCCAGCAGGTAATAAGCTGATAACGACAGAGCTCAAGTGTCGACAAGTGCATAAATCAATATTAATATGAATTGATTTTATTCGAATTCCCAGCTTCATGTTAATGATATTAGACTCCTTTACCTCCAGTGGATCAAAAGTGCAAATTGAGTGGTGATAGAATCTGTTCTGTAGTACATTAAATATTCTCTCTTAAATGATAGGTTAATGAAGACAGAGAATTTCTTTCAATTGATGCTAGATTAGTAGATTGACAATACCAGACTATTTGGGTGTTTTCAGTCGGATTTTGCACGCAAGGGCTTAGCAAAGGTTGGTTAAATGAACTCCTCTGATTTTTCAAGTTTTCAAATTTGGATGGTAGCTTTTATATCATTCACGTACGGTTTATAATAAGAGAATGACAGAGTGGTATGATAATATAAAGAAAAGAAAAGCTGCTAGTCATCAATAATTCACACTTTTTGGTTTTGTAGGTAAAATCAAGCTAAACCTCTTCTAATTTACCCGCCATCTTGCCTGTCTTTCACCTGCATTCAAGCACAGAAGTTCAAGCTGGCAAAAGAAAAGCACTTTGAAGTGGTGATGCATCTTACATTTATCTTCGTGAACGCATTTATCTTCCTGATTTATCCAGGTAACACAGAAAACGCAGTTTTCTTTGAAGACGTGTTATTTTGAAGTGCACTTAGATGTTATGTTTATGATTTTCTATTAGATTATCCTTTATACGTTAGAAATTAGCGTCGAGTTTATAGTAGCTTTCGTTGACAAGGTCTAACTGATTTGTCAGGAGAAATATGTTTTGTTGAAACAGGACGACCGAACTTTCTGCTTTTCTACCATTTGTCATCTCAATGTGTCTGTAATATCACCACAAGTATGCAAATTGCGCAAAATATTTTCTTTACGGCTACGAAAAAACATCTTTATTGATTTCTGAGCATTTTTAAGAAAACTTTCAGCTTTTATCGTGAAGCTTTACTGAGACGAAAATGACAGAAAACCTTTGTCTTGCGAATGAGAGCACTTGGCATGAGATATATATTGATTTCGAAAGCTGCCTGACTGTTAAGCTTTCAAATGATGTTCTAAAATTTAATCTCAATACCTAAGTTCATTGCGATTGTAAAAGTTATTACATTTAATTGAGAAGTTTGAACAAGATTCTGTTCCACGAGCCATGTGAAATCTCTGTTACTCATTTCTGTTATTGCTAAGAGTGAGTTAGGGGGTAACAAGCAAGAAAAGTCACTCTTTTAGCTTAGAAAAGCAGTATTTTACTGAAGGGATCACAAGCAGCTTCGGTAAACTTTATTAACGCAGATCAAAGAAAAATAGTAAAAATTTTGATCGACCAGATATGATTTTGTTTTATAAGACAATGTATTGGCGTTATTAATGATTTAATTTCGTAGTTCGTATATTTGGGAATCAGAATCAGAGATAATCTCCCATTGGCTGAAATTTGCTCGCAGTTGCATGAAGAAAATTAAAAATTCTATTAGACACGAGAAGACAAAAATTTAGGTAAGGTGGTTTGTACTTTTTAATTTTTTATTTGAAAGGTAAAGCAATTAAAAATAGAAATTTTGGACAAATGGAAAGGGAATTCAATTGTGCTTTGAGAATGTAGTTGAAAATCGATAACTGTTATTTTTCGTTCGGTAGGGGGTCAAATTGGTTAATGAAAATTCCCGCTGTTTTTAAACTTTTCTTTCAAGAAGCAATTCATGCAAACCATTGATATTCCGGTAACAAAGCAAACTTTGACATTCTTTCTTTGGAAAAGTAATTTGTTTAATTTTTAAGCTGTTTCAGAAGATTGATTATTTTTCTCGATGGATTGAAATTTGTGCAAACATCTATTCTGATGGATGATTGCATCCCAGCAAAAACAGTGTGTCGCCGTCTATGATTTGACAATATGCAAGTGGCGAACCGATGAAAATCAATTTTCACCTAAATACCAACAAGGGAAACCCTGGCTTATTTATGTTTCAAGTTTCATTACTGAGAATCGAAGATGCTGACGATCATAAGATCGTTATTACTAGCAGATCAGTTCTGTTTATGGAATGTCAGCAAACTTAGTGTTTTTGTTATAAAATTTCATTTTTTTTTGTCGGATGCAATATGAAAAGGTATTTACTCTCCTTTCGAAAAAGTTATTTTGCGCTACTTTAAAATAATCATTTTACTAGACGCAATCCTTTTTGAAAATAGCAATCAAAATAAGGTAAATAAGTAACAGAGATATTTGTCTGTCACATTGACCGTAGATTGTCCTGTAAACCGCTGAATCATTGGTTTTGTTTGATTCTTTTTGAAAGCCAATTGTACTTCTCTAAAAATCATTTTTCTGTGCACGGTAATCATTTCAATTCACTTAAAAAGTTGACATGTCCAGTTGGAATACTGTTGACTGTAATGATTTATTTACGCTACTGGGGAAATTTTTCAGAGAGAAACATGCATTGCATGAGATTCTGGAATGTTCCCCTACCTGAATTACCTCGCGGGAGTGTGGCATGTTTCCGTTTAATTTTTTGGTTTAGTCTATTTTTCATTTGAAACGAGACCACCCAGTTTTTACTCTACCTCAGTCAAGGCATTGATCGTGAGCTCATAAATTTCTTAGTTTTTGAAAAAGAAATGGAGAAATGGAGAGCTTATATATGGCAGTAATAGGCGCAATTCAATTAGTATAGGTAATAGCATGATTTGTAGTGATATTTGGCATAAATACCACGAGTGATATTTCGAAATTGTTATACCTAAACAATTTTGAAATATCACGAGTGGTATTTATGCCAAATATCACTACAAATCATGCTATTATTTGTTTATACTACTACCCGCAAAAGGTTTGTAATTTTCACATGTAGGTATTTCAAATTAAGCTGAAATACCACTGCTCTAAGCCAATCAAATTGCAGTAATTTTTCGTGTAGTAGTATAATGTATTTAATTGGTACGTACATGTACAGAGTTCCTCGAAGGCACCACCGTGGCGCGGTCTCCATATTGATTCCTGTATTATGGAACTACTTTTTGAAAAATAACGCATGTAAAAGAAATCATATAAAACTGAGACTTGGAAAGTATTTTAACATATTAAAATTCTGTTACCGTATCATTTTAGATTTCCTCGCCTTTTGGTGTTTTTCATTAAATGTAGCTGTGAAAACAAGCAATAATTGGTTCAAAAAGTGCGAAGGCAACTTTTTCTCGAAAAACTCTTCGTGGCCTTCATTTTCACGGTCTTCTGATATGATATAATAAGAAAGACGACGATTTTGAAGTTGCCACACGGATTGGAGCATGACGCAACTTGGAACCATACGACGTCATACGTATAACACCAACTTACCGTTGATTAAGACATTTTTGATGCACTATTGGCTCACTAAAGCCTCCCAATTTCAGCCTAACCTGAGCGCAGTCACGATATATTAATCGTTACTTTGAAACGTAAAAAGAAGGAGAATTGGTGTTCATTAAATATTAAATATCTACGCTAAATATTACCTCCACCAGTAAGTGTTTTCTAATAAGTTGTTGTTGTACTGATCAATTTACAGCCAAAGGACTATCTTACGTGGCTTTTAACGCCAGTGTAATTAGTGAACCTATCACCAATACTACTGACAGTAATGGTAAGCCCAATTTTTTCTAAAATTGTTAGTTAGTGTTGGTGTTTTTTGTGTGACATACGTATTTGATCTATTCCCATTCCCAAATATTCCTGCGTTTTCAAAAAAACTTGAATAATTGACACTCGAAGCTATCTTAATATTCAAAACAATGCCATAGCGTTGTACATATGGATGTTAAACTGATTTTCGCCTTCCAATTGTGTCTAAGTTGCAGACGCGGGGTTGGTGCAAGACGATGATGATGAACTCCGGTTGGTTAGGGATCTTTTTGAACACTACGACATAAACGTACGCCCTACGGCTGAGAAGGACTTGCCGATTGTAGTCAAATTTGGGATTGCTTACACCCAGATTGTCGATTTGGTAATTTGATTTGTATTATTTGCCTCTTTTGAATAATATATTTGTGGTTTGATTCGTCTATTTTAACCCGCTGTAACTGTTCAAGATTTCCCTAAAGACACTTGAGCTATACTTAATGTTGTTTAACAAATCGACCACAATTTTCTATAGTGTACGCAGACTCTTACAGACCATAGAAATGACGTTATTAAATTTTCAAAACTCAAGTGGAACCATGAGCCGCAGGTGAGTGGTTTCACTGCAAAGTTTTGAACATTTTATGGCGTCATTTCTATGGTCTATAAGAGTGTAGATCATGGAAAATTGTGGTCCATTTGTTTTTTACAACATTTATTTTTCTTCGAAAAACCAAAAATCAACATTCCATTTTCTGAGGCAAGCAATTACTAAGAGTGTATTATTATTATTCTTTATTAAGCGTTGTAAATAATGAACTCGCATTATTATCTAGTTGGTTTCTCCGCCCTTATAACGTTGAACGTGAGACCTCTACCAGATCCTTTTTCTATGTTTGCTGTGTTTATTCCCTTTTATTTTTCTGTTAGTCAAGGTAGCGGTTTTTGCCCATAACGTGGTAAGGTACTATCTCGTGTGCTTCATTTCATAGATCGAAAAAGACCAAGTCCTTGTAAGCAATATCTGGGTCAGAATGGTGAGTAACATATATTTATCTGCTGTTAAAGTGTACACTGCAAGACCCGCGATATTCGATGTTGCTGGACTGAAAATAATATCGAATTCCCCCTGGGTTTTCCCCTGCAGTGAGTGATCTTTTTACAGTCCGCTTTGGTCTCCCTTTGCACGTCACTGTCCATGCTTCCACCTTAATGGAATTGCAGGTCTTTCAGTCGTCAAAAAAAATTAAAGGACACAGTCAATTTCAACAGGAAATACCCCAATGTAATTATAACATTTCTTGAGTGTAACAGCTCCACATAAAAGGATACCTGTCTTTGTTTTTCTTTTTATCTTATCAGAGTTGGCACAATCATCTATTAAAGTGGAACTCCTCAGAGTATGGTGGAATCAAGACGATTAACCTCAACCCCTTGAAAGTTTGGCGTCCTGATATTGTCCTGCATAACAAGTAGGCCAGTCAAGAACCATTCTCCGAGACCCGGGAGCAGTCAGTCGAGTGTGGCTCACTGAGAAAAAAATCCCTCTGTCAAATTTACCGAACGATTTAAGCTGTCTCTTTGCAGGAATTTTCCTTGTTAAGGGGGCATTCTGGTTGTTTCTTTGGGGAAACTGATAGGTTTGATTTGAGAAGTAACGAAATTAGGGTAGAATTGGTATAAACATAAACCAGTTAGTCAGCTAATGATCTCAGGGGCACCTTATTGTGGTTGTGGAATATGTGGTGGTATTTTCCATAATTTTCAACTGACGACATCCCCACACCATTTCTTTTCATTCAAAACAATCTCACACATTCATTGAACCAATAATTACAACCTTATGGAGGAGCCATTTTTGACTGAATTATATTGTGGCTAGGTTTGAAAGAAAAAGGGAAGAAAAAGTGAAAAACAGTTAAGGCTTTTGACCAGAATCCCCCTTGATATTGTAATCCGGATCTTGTCGCTGATCTCAGCCCGCCCGGCTGTCTGTTCCAGGATGTGGAAGTTCAAAAATACCTTTGCTTAGCGATATACATTAAACTTTCTTTTTTATATGCTTTACAGTCGCGGAGGTGATCAAAATATCTCATCGCCCCTAGTGAGAAGGGCATATTGCTGTGGAAATTCGAATTTTGAAGTCGATCTAAGCTAACAAGAAAATTCATTTTAAATCTTCCCCGTGTTAAGTATGATTCATTCCACCCGGCAGTTCTGTTCATCATAAAATCGTTCATGTTGTTGTGGTTATTAATTTTAGTGCTGAGGAGACACTTCCAAGCGGAAACCTTTATAATTTCAAAAACCGAATCATCCTGACATCTGATGGAGGATGTACATGGTACGCTCCCACAATTCTTCGCAGTGGATGCAACATCGACATAACCTACTTCCCTTTTGATGATCAGTTGTGTGAGTTAAAGTTCGGATCTTGGACTTACAACGGTTTTGAAGTAAATATTGTGCAAATGAGTGACAAGGCAGATCTCAAGTTCTACATGGAAAGCTCTGAGTTTCAGCTCATATCTGCAAAAGCTCAAAGAAACGTGGTGACATACAGGTAAATCCTTTCTTGTAAGTAGTGGAGAATTAAAAAAGAAGTTCTTGAAGGCATAGGGCGAAAATTTCCCTCCTTTCTTTATTTAATGTAAAAGAGTAGTTTTAGTTGTAAGCGGACAGAGCTTAACTTTGACTTTTATACATCACAAGGACAAGACAAGAAAAAGTTGCGTAACGATAAATGGTTTATAATGCCATTTTTTTGTAACCCATAAGTGCTGTCAAGTAACTGCTATTACTGCTTGAAGACAGGTTACCCGAGTAATGCCTAGTATAAACTTTGGGGTTTTCAGTTTTGTTAACTTTGTTATTAATATATCTATAAAACTGTGCTTATCGCAAACAATATCACGAAAGATTGCAGCCCAGGTTAGGAGAACAGTCACCTACTCATATTAAAAAAAATATATATATAACGTTTATACTTACATTCAAACTTACATCTACAAAACGTATTTTATTAAACCTTGGTCTCAAAGGGCAGGCCCCGCCCGAAAGGAACTCGTTTTTCAGGCCTCAGTGTATTTGAAAGGATTGGGATCTTAAGAGTTGAAGTATTTGAAAGGCTAAGAAACACAGTCTGTTTGGCGATTCTTCATAGACGCGCCAGTCCAAGGGTTTAGAAAGGGAAAGCAGTGTTTTTACGTAACTATGTACGTGAACGGGGTACCGTAAGGTGACGGGTTGGACCTCGAGGCGGAGCCCTCCCGTATAAACATTTGTTAAGTATCTTTCACTGGCTTTCTCTTTGGTTAAACAGCCGGCCCTCCTGCTGATTGTATGCTTCCAAAATGAAACGGAATTTGTAGTCGACTGTTCACAAAAGTGTCTCCGTGATAATAAATTACAAAACGCAACCCCTTACTTACAAAACAACACGATAGTTCATACTTTTCCTTTATAAATTTGCACTAATGTATACTCCTTCGGTCTTAGGTATGATCTCTGCACTCACTATAAGGAATTGTTGTTACTAATATTTTTCGAATTTGTTCAATCTTGCAAAGAAGTGTTTGATAATTGATTTATTTTTGAATTTTTCGCAGTTGATTCTTTGCTTGTAGTACTTTATTGTCAAACACAGCTGCACTGGCACATAAATAGAAGCATTTTACAATATAATGTTTTGAATCATTTTGAAAGTTTATAACAAGGGTTAAACTAAACAGAGTCACTGCACGTGGGTTCCTCGACACAGCACCGTGAATTGCACACTGCAAAGGGCATGCAAATGAACGGTAACGTATATGTTCTATTACATACAGCTGTTGCCCAGAGCCGTACCCTGACGTCACATTCAATCTTCATCTTCGCCGAAAACCGGGGTTTTTTCTCTACAATATCATCATTCCTTGCTTAGTAATAGCAGCACTTGCAGTGCTGACGTTTGTGCTGCCACCAGAGATTGGGGAGCGAGTGACGTTGGTGATCGAATCATTCCTTGCGCTGTCATTTGTGGTGCTGATGGTGTCGGATAGCGTTCCTGTAACCTCTGACAGCTCGCCTCTTCTTACAAAATTCTTGCTTATTTCCATGGTGGAAATCGGATGCGCACTTATTTCAAACTGCATCTCGCTGAATCTCCACAGAAAGTATCCGATGCCACAATGGGTGCGCGTGGTTTTTCTTCACTATTTGGCCCGCTGCTTGTGCATCAAAACAGGACACCCAAGAAATAACATAAACACGAAAAAACGTAAAGGAGGAGTCACTGATCCACTGGTCGAAGCCAGAAAGCTCTCAGGGGCAAAACTGCTGGGCTCCTCCACAGGATCTGCAGTAAAAAATTGCGTTATCCCACATCGAGCCAATCAAGACACCACAACCTCGTTGACAGAGGGACTATCGGAGCTAGCACAGTTTGAGATAAATAAAGATGAACACCAGGCGAATCGCCATTTTTGGATCTTTGTGTCGCGGGTTGTTGATCGCCTATTGCTGTTGTTATTTTCCATAGCATTTGTATTTTCATCTTGCGTCATATTTGCTCAAGTGCCAGATCACTACAATTTACTCATATAAAATTATCGTGTGAGTTCTACCAAAGCAATGACATGGAGATCGTGATTGGATCTGTAGTACAACTGTCCCCCCGGAAAGGAGGAGTGTAGATATAAATGTTCTCTTTAAGGCCACTGAAAGCCCTTAATGTCCAGCTTTAGATAACATTCTCTGTTTGGCTAGAACAGTCTGAAAGATAAGAAATTGGCAAATTACTGATGTAATTTGTTTATGAGTGTCTATATTGTGTACAGTGAGATTCATGGACATAAACTTCAGAATTTCAGTGTTAAAACGAGTGAAGTGTGCATGGGGTGTATTCCACGACTACGCACAATTTCAAAAGTCTGAATTGTTGAAATATAATTTAAGAAAACCTTTTATTTCTTAAAGGAAAATAACCTTTTATCGACTTGGTGCGGTTCGACTTTGACTTGTCAATCCTTTCCATTACCAGTAACATCTGAAAAGTTGACGTACTATTCTTGTTAAAATACAGTACTCATAGAGATAAATTGTGACCAAAATTACATTCAGTGTTGAGCGTGTTTACTTAGCTAGAGTGCTTGGTAGATATTTTTTCTAAGGAACTTTATGACTACTGGACATGCGGTCGAGAACGTGTCGTGGGTATCTTGTTTAAACTCTCTTACAGCTAAAAGGTTACACAAAAAAATGGGGAATAAGAGAAACAGAAAAGAAAGGCAAGGTATATGATGAATGACAAATATTTGAGACAAATATTCAAAACTTGAGTACAGATATTGGAAAACATTCTGTTTTTTTTTTAATTATTAGTCAAGAATAAATAGAAACGATATCAGGCCGCTGTGAAATCTAGAGGTCAAGGACAAATAATTGTGAATGTATCAAATAGTTTTCTCGGCGGTTAAATTTTAATTCTTTTCCCTTTTTCCGTTTGCTTGATAGTCTGGGATTTTATATTCCTTCAACTTACACAGACGAATTATCCTAAATGTTTTCCCAATCAAATAAATCATATTTCTTACATGAAAGAGGCTTCATTGTTAATTCAACAGTGAATAGTTTGACGCAATGCGTAGTCAGCTGGGTGAGATTGATTGATTTGGTTATACGAGTTTAAACCATACGATGTTGGACTCCCAATACACCTTATTATCTCTTAATGTGCAATGCATAACTCATAAGTCATAACATAGTTAAAACCCTCCTACCGTTGCAGCTGTTATTCTGCCAATGAAGTCTTCAGGAATTTGTTTAGTAGTAAACTTAAAACTAAAATGAAATAGCAATCGAACTGCAAAACACAGCTGGCGTCTTCGCAGCGGCTTTTCTCGATATTTCTGTTCTTGTTAAATCAGTATTGGACAGTCTATATTTAATTATTGAAAACTACTCAACATGCAACGGTAAATTTCAGTTGCAGTTCAAAGATAAGTCTAAGACTCCGTGACTACCCCTTAAAAAAATAAAGGTATTCAGTCTTTACCTTGTTTGGGGTGAAAGATCACTGTTGTTTTGATATTTATAAAATGTTTGAACTTGAGTTTTTAATAATAATTGTCTTTAATAATTGATATGCACACTCCAAAATGTTTGAAGTTATTGGTCAGAGAATTTTATCGGCGACTTTTTGATCACTGTATTTTTCGCCACTTGTTCCTTGATGTGTTCAGTGTATTCTTATACTCAATTTTCAGACTAAACAGAAATCACTAACAATTGGGAAAAAGTCACACACCAGGCAAAACATCGAGGCACGACAAATCAATAAATGATATTTTTTTTAGAAGAAATTTTCCAAAATGAAAGCTCCGTAAGTTCGGAAATGATGCATATGTAATTCAGCTCACTAACGTCTGGTCCTGGGCACTCCCACTTTGACTTTTCTATCGAGGTTAAGAGCTTTTAACTTGACTCCATAATTTTTCAGTATCCAGTTTCCTAGTATCAGGCGCCACCTTTCTTTATCATATATTTAATGGGCGGTATTCTTTACCACTTCCAAAAATTTTTTTAAGATAATTAAAATATACAAAATCCTATAATTCTGTCACCTCCAAAGTTTCTTTGTAATTAGAATAAATCTGTTAATTTTAAGTGACTGTATGATTTATTTTGGCAAAAGAGAGAGAATTTATGATATGGTTACAAGAAAAAAAGAAATTGAAGTGACCGTACTTTTAAGGTCAGTTTTAGTGCTTTTCGTTTTCTTGAGACTTGTTAGATTAAGTGACTTAGAAACATGCTACAAAAACACGAGAATGAAGGAAGGTGCTCAGAACCCTTAATTTTCCCGCAAAAGAAAAAAAAGTGAATAAAGAAGCCAAACGGTTCTGAAGTCAAAATTGGAAAACAGCGCGTGCAGGTAGATTATCAAAATGAGTAAAAGTTAAATCGTACATATTAGAGAATTACTGTGACTTACGAGATGAAGAGACTTCGGTTGATAACAAGCAACAGAGACGGTCGACAATAAAGGCTCTCGGAACTCTTACGTGCGACCTTATTTAGCACATAAATGTGTTAAAGTCAACTTGAAAGAAGCGTGTGTAGATAGGTGATCAAACTTAATAAAATTTGTAGCTCTCTATCAAAGTATTACTGAGACGTACCAGATGAAGAGACTGGATAACAAGATACAGAGACGGTCAACGAATAAAGGCAATCGAAACTTTTACATTCAACTTCATTTAGCACATAAATGTTTTAAACTCAAATGGAAAGCAAAACGTGCAGATAGGTTATTGGAATAAATAAAAGTTTTAGCTACATGTTAAAGTACTACTAAGACGACTTACCAGATGAAGTGACTGGATAACAAGCTACAGACACCGTCAACGATGAAAGTGCTCAAAAACTTTACACCGAAGTTTAAAACATCGTGAACAAACGCACTGTTAACGAGGGCCGACACGACGTTGCAAACAGAAAGGCGACTTGTACAGGTATGTTATTGACTTGCGATACCTTTGTAACATGTAATACTGACACTTTAGGAATACTTTAGGAAGAGCTTAAAGAAGACGACCTTTTTTTAGAACGAAAAATTGAGTGACATGTAGACGTGCGCACCTCTCGCGATAGATTTTTCGTTATATTAAATAAATAATTTTTATGAATAGTTGATTCTAAAATTTTATCATACGGTGGCATAATTTGATGCTTTCCAATTAAATGTGAGTTTTGAGGTTTTGTAAGTAAAGGAAAGGGTAGGGATGCATGCTAGTGTTAACGAACCAGCCTATGAAAAATCAGTCCTTCAACTTGCTGTTTTATGAAATCATTACAAATGAAATTTGAATTTTGATTCCCTCAATGAAACCATTTGTTCAATTAAGATTTATTTATTCGACAAATTGTCGTCTGGTTTCTCTAGCAAAGCCACTGGGAGCTGGACGCTATGCATTCAATCATCAGTAGCGACTCCCTAGGATTCTCTAACAAAGCAACGCATAGAATGAAATTTTTTTGCTCTCTTCATTCTTACTGAGATTTTGCGTAGCACGAAAATGGTCGCTATTAGTTGATGAAAGGGGAAAAAAAAGGAGGGGGGACGGATAGGTAAATTATCGTGCAGAGAACAATTACAGAAGTAAACCAAAAAAATATCAAATAAATCAAATCAAGTCCAGTCACTGGATCAAAAAATACAAGAACACATTGATTATTTCTTCAAATATCTTCTTTGTTTTTAAATCTGAAAAACTGAACCAAATTAAACCGAAATCAAGTAAACAAGCCAAAAGTAAACCTTTACACGACATATTTGAGTAGTAGTATGGCAATTAATTTCAATAGCCCGTGCTAACATATCCAAAATAGTATATATTACGGTTACTAGATGACATTCCTTTCTTGATATACTAACTGCCTTTTTTTCTTTTTTACTTTTCTCTCTTTCCTCTTGCTTTTAGCTGCTGTCCTGAGCCTTATCCTGATATAACATTCTATATCCGCATGCGCCGTATTCCTGGCTTCTTCCTCTTCAACATCATCATTCCCTGCCTTGTCGTCACTTCTTTTTCTGTCTTCACTTTCGCTTTCCCACCGGAATTCGGCGAACGCGTGACTCTTGTAATAGAAGCGTTCCTGACCATCTCTATCGTCATCCTCAATGTTGCCGGCAGTATTCCAGTTACCTCAGATGCTTCGCCCATTATTGTAAAGCTCTTGTTGGCCAACATGTTTCAGATAGGCTTTGCTCTCATTGCCAACTGTGTTTCTTTAAATATGTACAAGAAGACAGAGATGCCGCAGTGGGTTCGAGTGTTGTTTCTCCATTACCTTGCGAGAATGCTTTGTATCGACACTGGTTATCCCAAAGCCGATGTGAGGAAAACCAGACGAGTAGATGTCAGGGTAAGAAATAAAAAATTTCTGAATCAAGTTTAGGGTTTTGAGCATGTTACCAGTTCACTGAACATAGGAAGAAAGGTCGATCGCTACCGTAAATTGTGTCAAAGTCTAGTCTCTGAGCAGGCGGTATTTTTGTACAAAACTGATGGGGTAGCACACAAGGTACGTGAGCCGAGAGGGACACCTGTTACCTGCTAAATAGAGAGGAGTGTGACGTCACGTTACCTTGGTAACAAAGTTTTTAATTTGATCCTATGCTTATCAGTTCAATTTAATCATTTAAATGAAATGCCTGGAGGATTGAACTTGCTCTCAAATAGACTGAATAAATATGTCCATGAATGGATTAAACATGTTTCCGTTTTTGGATTGCATTAATATTTCTATCAGTGATTGGATTTAATAGATATTTGGGTGATTGGATTGAACAAAATATTTCAGAGATTGGATTCAATAAATATTTCAGAGACTGGACTGAATAAATATTTCGGTGATTGTATTGAATGAATATTACAGAGACTGGATTGACTGAATATTTTGTCATGATTAAATTCAACGGATAAACGTAGGATTAAATTAAATGCTTTTTGGATAGTCTTAAACATATTTGGACGATTAAATTAAATGGCGTTATGATAAAATGGTTGGATCAATTTATTTAATTTTACTACAAACGGCTTGCCATACCAGGGAAGAGAGGCAGCCAGTCGGCTGATCAGCATTAAACAGAAATAAGTTACAGGTTAGCGTGATAAGTGATGCAACATGCACACGTAAAAAGAAAAAAAGAAAGAGAAGAGGAAAAACGCTATTTCTACGCTATTAAGGAACTGTCTAAAATAGTTAAATTTATATCTGAATACAAAACATTAATAAAAGAAGAGCACACAATAGCTATGACAACTAATAACAAGTTACATATTAAATTATAGAAGAAAAATATTAAGACTTGGAAAGGTGGCAGAATTTAACAAAAGACTAGTTTACAGGTAATTTGGGAAACAAGACAACTAAAGAATATATGTAACTAATAATCTTTGATAAGATGGTTTGTTACTGATTCCTCGAATATTAAAATAGAGAAGGTCTCCGCAAAATTTGAGTTCCATGCTTTGAGACCCTTATTAAATGTTCTGTTGAATATTCAATAATTTGTCATTACTTTAGGTAAAGTATAGGAATTATTCGAGGCACTTCTTATTTTATAGTTATGTCTTTCATTGACTTGTGTGAAGAAAGTATCAAACACAGATGGTAGACGTCCATTCTGAAGTTTTTTCATAAAGACTGCAATATTAAGAAAGACAAGATCACGCTGTTTAACAATATTTAGGTGTTTGAAAATTGGACTAGAATGCTCGTGAAATATAGAGAAAGTCATCACTCGCATTGTTCTCTTTTGTAAAATGAACAAAGGCTGGTTAGAGGAAGATTTATAGGTGATACCACAAGAAATTAAACCATAGGTTAAGAAGGGATATACCAAGGCATAATATAGCTTAACCAGAATTTCTAAATTCACATAATAACGAAGTTTAGAAAGAATTCCAATATTTTGCTTAATCTTCTTAGCAATATGGCTTACTTGACTTTTCCATGATAAATTAGAATCTGTTATAATACGTAGACATTTTACTGAGTACTCTTGGTTTAAGTTTATGCCATTTAAAGAGAGTGCCAGTGTGATATGAAAGCGTAATTTTCGGTTTTGGGGGTGGAAAATGACAATTTTGACTTATCAATATTAAGTGAAAGTTTGTTAGCACTCAACCAAGTATGAATATTAAACTATTTCGTTATTGACATTGGACCACAGTTTGTTGAGATCCAAAAATTTTGCTGCCATGGCAATGTGACGTAACGACTTCTCCTCTCTATTTCAAGGAGGCAACAGACTGCTTGCGGACTGGCTAGCGCAGGTCTTTTCAGTTAGACATCAATGTCTGTGTGGGTTGGAGAGATGGGTTGGTGAAATAGGATCTGAGCAACTTCTTGCCTAAGACACCTGCAGGGCCGGGTTGTTCAAAGCTCGGTTAGGATAACTCAGGGTTAGTCCGAAATTTGAATTCAAAAACGAAAGCTTAAAACGCAATATCGGTTTAATTATTTTTGTCTACAACTTGATGATTGGACGCTCTTAAAAAATAAGAGACAAAAATTAACCAGGAAAATACGTTTGAACAAAGAAAAGAAACACGGAGTAAAATTTAACCCCGGGTTAGCGCTAATCACCCTTCGAACAACTGGGCCCTGCATGGTTATTTAATCAACAGCCAGGTAAGAGTATCCAATGGCTTAGTTGAGTCCAATCTTACTTTCCGTCTGGCATCTACTGCTTTCCTGTTTTCAAGGTGGAGGAAACTGAGAAGAACTACATCAAGCTTGTAGGAGCTAAGCAGTTCAAGCCCGTCAATTTGACTCCAAGCAAGTTACCGTCGATGGCCATTAAACCCCCAACCACCCTTTCTAAACTTACGGAAGGTATCACCGAACTTGCAAAGAACTCTCTCAGGGAACAGGAACATGAACGTGACAGGGAGTTTTGGATCTTTGCCTCTCAGGTCGCCGATCGGATATTCTTTATTGTTTTTGCAGTAGTTTTGATCTGTTCCACCACCACTATCCTTTCAGAAGTTCCCGACCACTATTCGGTAGAATAGCCGGAATACAGAATAATGCCATTAAAAAGTAGATTATCTAGGCTATACTAACATAAATTTCCGGGCTAACACAATCATGCCCCGCACAATCGGATGTATTGATAGCCTTCAAGTCTCAAGTAAACTAATTTTAACAGATGTATGGTCAGTGATTCAACCTTTGAGTTGGCGATGAATATAAATTGTTTCTATTTGCATGTACCAATTGTAGATGCTACTGACTTTTTAGTTTTTTTGGAAATCGAAGTTTAAAGTTTCTTTAAAATCTTTAAGAAATTTAAAAAAACAAGGGGTAATGACAAGTCGATAGCTTAAAAAACTTAATTGTTCCTCGCAAATGTCAGTTTAGTTGCGGTTATGAAAACTGGCAATTTTTCAACTTTACTCCTTGAGATTTAGTGTAAGAAGTTTCATTGGGTAATGCAATGTAAGGTACATTGAGCATCCAAAAGGAAAATCACCAAAAGCAGGAGCCCATTACCTCTCAGAGAGGCTGTCACTGATATCAAAGTGTTAACCCCTGCTCTTGAGGACAGACCTGTAACCTTTATTGTTTTCCAAGACTGAGAAGCAAACGAGGATTTGTAACTTACCAATACGAAGACGAGGTCAGGTTATAAAGGTGTTTCAATACAATTTTTCTAAGTCCTGCACACCGACATTTTTCGTTCGCCTTATATGTGTGGTTTTATCCTTGTCCGAACGCTATAAAATTTTCACCCTTGGTTTGACAAAGATTGAAGTTTGTCAAAATGCAGTTTTGAGTAAAATCGATATCACTATGACAACAATAAACAAAAAACTTTGAGACCCATAAAAGCCGAATTTTGCGTGGTCTATACCTAGGCCTGCTACTGAAAATCCGACACCAAGAACTTGCAGTGCGGTGTTACGCAAATAACCTCCTTGAAAAGTAATTTATGTTCAAACAAAACGTAATTACATTGAAAACGCTATATTTTCAATTCCTGTGATAAATTGTTTAATAAAACAGTGTTCTAGATAACCCAAATTAATTTTAGACTAGTACATTTCAGTTTGAATTTTCTTGCGCTTGACTTGTATAATGTTAAACGTTGACAATTCTCGCTGAAAAGTACAAATCATGGAGGTATGCCTGGTACACATTAATCTGTAAAAATTAGCATAACGTCAAAACACACAGTGAATGTTGTAACGCAGATTTATGGCCGGTTGGTAGGCTAAGTTCGCCTTGAAATTTCGAGGTGTTGCAGTGAATCAATCAGACATTATATATATATATATATTGATGTGATGAGATTTGAAAAGAATTCTGTAGAGCCGTTCTCGAGATATACAGAAAAGCGCATAAAAGTCAAAATTTAGAATAAAGTTGCACTTAGACAGACGGTGAGAAAACAGGTTAGTTTTCAGGATCACAAGAAGGAACCATATACTAAAACTTCCAAACAGCGAAATTGATATTAAGCAGCATTGATTAATTTGTCCACTAGTTATTTAGTACCTTTTTTTACTAAACAATTTATCACCTCAACGACTGTATCGATTCCGACCCGGAAAACCGAAAGATAGTAAGAACTGTTTTAAATAATATTTGATCTATATAGCTACATGTTATTTGTATTGCATTTAATTAAGCCACCGTCATTAATGTAATTTTTAGTAGATTTTATTGTAATGAAAGGGAGATCTCCTTAGAAAAGCTGTAACAAGCTTGCAGAGATCTTCCTGCTACTAGATATGTTTTGCAATCTTAAATTACTGCAAGGAAGAAATGAGGTAGGGGCAAAATAAGTAAATAACAAATAAATAAATTTATTTACGTTTCATTTTAATTCAAACTTACAGATTTTTTTACTTTTTACGGAGGTTATTTGCTAAACACCGCACTGTAAGTTCCTTTTCGGATTTTCAATAGCAAGTCTAGCTCGCACAACGTTCGGCTTTTATCGATTTCAAAGTTGTTTGTTTGTTGTTGTCATAGTTATATCAATTTCCCCTAAAACTACATTTCGACAAAGTGCAATCCAGGGTCAGTCAGTAGTAAAAATTCGCCATGAAGGCGATTGAAAAATATCGGTATTGAAACACTCTTACAAATAGTAATCCCGTTCGCTATTATGCACCCTTACCATGAAATCTAAAACATATGGAGGACGCGCGTTTTCCGCTACAGCCCGCCAGTTATGAAACACTATCCCAGAATATGTCAAAAATACAGACAGTGTTGCTACGTTTAAAACAAAACTTAAAACATTTTTATTCAGGAAATATTTCTATTGATTTTTATGCTTAACCTTTTTTTTTTAGTATTTTAAAGTTTGCAATACTTGATGTATAATATGTCTCATAGGCTAGAGATTTTTCTTAATTTTCTCTTTTTCTTATCATAATGTAAAGCGCATTGGGGACAGAAATGCGCTTTATAAGCACTTATATTATTATTATTATTATCATTACTATTATTATTATTATTATTATTATTATTATTATTATTATGAAATATATAATTTATAGAAATATCAGTAAAAAACTACTGCAGCCAAGAGCCCTTTCCAGGAACTGGAAGCTGATAGTAAGAACGGAGATAAAACGGCTAATAGTCTGTGTACATATAACTAGTGACTGACCTGTATCCATATCTCTTAGTCTTTCTTGAAAGAGGGAATTAAAGAAGTACATTGAAAAAATTAAAAATGCCGATAAACAACTGCTTGTGTTTGTGTATCTATAACAACACTTTCCATTAACGAAAATCATTAAGGGCGTGAACAAGCACTGTTATAGGGATAAGCATAAACCATGTACTGTTTACTGATTTATGTTGGTACCCCCCGACTAAAAGACTTTTTAATATAATCTTAAAAAATGCCCCATTTTGAGATGAAATATTAAAAAAGAGAACAACAACAACAACAAGTGACTAAATTGTGGAGGGTTCATAGAGGTACTCTATGCAGCCGCATAAGTCCAGCCATGATTGTTACCTTGCCCACTCAGACCAATGAGGGCACAAGTCAGCTACAACATGACACAAGGGCCTATGTCCCCTCGTCTTTTCGAATAATATCATGGGTTCTTTAGCTTCTCCTTCCAACTGGTGTCGAAGAGTGAACGATACAAGGCTAATGGTTTATAACCGCCGAATGACGCGATCACATGAACTAAGAAAGGATTTTCATGAGGCGAGGAGCGGTTGAGCACACTAACCTATCGGTCGATCAATACTTTGTCAAAAACATTAAACCGAAAAGTTATAGTTGAGAAGGATGATGCTTAGTCTGACACTTGCTTCAATCTGACACAGCGGATGCATTTCGGTGAGTATGGGCTGCCGTCTTTTGTTAGCATAATCGAACCTCTGCGATTAAAACATTTCAGAAGGGCAGTTATAGAATAATTAGTCTGTAAAGCTAACAAATACGTAACCATAACCGCAGTGATTCTTATCGTGCTGTAGAAAATAAGAGAGAAAGCAAGGAACTGCAGTCATTTTTTTGGTTCGGTGATTCTGCTGTCGTGTAAATGAAGTAGTGTCAATTACTTCATCATACAAATTAAACCTTAAGTTGATAATTTCAATCCAGTAATGACTGGTTCTTATCTTTTCGGGACGAGTTTCTTTGCAAAAAACGATAAAAAAATTATTCATTGCCAGATGTAAAGAACGTAAACGGTTTTTTCGGTCAGTTCATTTACCGGTGACCACCTTGTAATACCAATCAAAACACAACCTGCACAAAGTAATTTAGGTTTGGGTGGCTCGATAACCTTGCTTGTCTTACTGTCCTCACACCGGAATTTTAAGCCTTGTTTTCTCGAACTATTTTTTAGTGAATTGTAAGTTTGACTTAACAGGGCAGCCGTTAATACATTTCTAGTCCTTCAGACTCTCTGGTAAACTTTGCCTTCCTTCTGGCAATTGTACGTTAGACCCAGAACGATGTTCCTGTTTTGGATTTTGCTGATTACACGCTTGATTCCTACCACAGCGGGTAAGATTTCAGGTAAGATTTCTGTTAAGTTCGCGATTTTTAATTGACTCGAATATCATTGCAAGCAGATGTGGGCTGAATGGTTGGATGAATAGAAATAAAACGAAACAAATCAGAACTAAATTACTACTCAAGACTGAAAGAAACTAAAGAGCAGTGATTAACGCCGTAAAAAAGCAATTTATACTGAGATGCTTGACCGCGTTTAAATGTCGGTAATTTCGTGTTAGCCAATGGGGCTATATGGCTGTAAACCTGCGGCTTTGTAACCGTGAAATAGCAAAAAACCTCAGAAGTGATAAACATTAAGAAATGTAAACTAAAATAAATAAATAAATAAATGAGACTAAGCTAAACGGTCAAGAGTTTGTGAGCAGGTTTTATAATTATAAACTGAGAGGATTATACATTGCTTCACTTTAAACTAGCTGTTATTCGCTAACCGTAAGCGAATCTTTTGTTACTATTGACTGTAAACATTATGAAGCGAGCATATAACATGCCAGAGGCTTAGTTACCTGCCCTTTTTGTTTAAAGCTGTTTATTCAGCTTAGTGACCACTGCCACCAGTTTAATAATCAGATGCGGATTATCCAGTCCGAAAATTCTTGGATCCAGAATGAAATTTGATTATGATTGTCTAAGCCTTATTTCAATACCGTTTATAAAGCTGACCTCGCGCACAGCTAAAAATGTCTACAAGGTGATTATATGGTCTGGTATATAAGAATTAATGATTCCTGCAACGATTTCCGTTTCAGATGTGCACCAAAAAAGTGTAGTTCCTATCACAGTAGGTGAGCTAAAGGAAGGAGAAACGCAAACTATCAACACAGCCCCAAGTAAGCCTGATTAAACATGTGTTTTGTTGTTGCTGCTCAGGTTCTCTTCATACGGCACTGGAAGAATTTTCGCCCGGCTGAATATTTGTGCGTTTGGACGTTCCGCTTACACGGAACCACCTTAGCCGTACGAAAATTTTTAGCTGGTGAGGGTCAAAGACGTGTTTGCCTGGCTGCATGGTAACGCGCTAGAGGACGCCATTTTGGATTCGTTAAACTAGTGTACTGCGCACGGACAGATGGTAAAACCACTGACCAAAATAAAAATTCAGCCTTGTTTGTGAGCTCCGTATGAACACAGCGAAAATATTGAACTGTTCCGTGTACGCAGTGTTTAGTCAAATTTTTCAGTTGGTCGTCCCGTGACATGTGAACGACCCGTGCCGATACAGCAGCTTCCAAGTGAATTGAGCTATCGCACATGAGCCATTTTTGGCGACTCGTTCAAGAAAATTACTCTTAAGGTTCTAATCTCATGCGTAGGATTAAAAAGGAGACTCCTGAGGAAAGTTTCCGAGAAGTTTCTAATATCTCATCTCATTGCAGTTACCATCCACATTCCCCTTCCCAAAAGTCATACCAATCACGATCCATCAGAAGCCCCAGCTGCCATCGCGCACGAGGCACCTGAGGGAACATATTTACTTCCAGTGACTGAGCATAAAGACTCTCCGCCAGCCATCAACTTGGCAGTTAATCTTCGACTTCTTTTGGAAAAAGGTTAGTTCAAACAACAACATACAAAAATAATTTTCAGTTGATATAGCTAGTCTTCAGTTTTGAGTTTTCAGTTTTGAGATACAGAACAGTGAAAGCGTTTCAGTTATAAAGTAATTTCGCGTTGTTTTGAAATTTATCGGCATAAATTATAACGCAATCAATGTCAAATGTGGGGGCGAATTCTTGTAGAATTGAATTATAAAGACCTTGTCTAGGTTCTCTGAGAAAGGAAGAGAGGACTGAATTGGACTCTTGTGTTTACGCCTTTTATAAACTGCCACAAATCAGGAAATTTAACTTCATATTCGTACAGTGATAGCAAAGAAGTGAGCACTTGTAATTGTTATGGTCACTAAAACATGAATTTGTTTTGACGTTCAGATTCTTGTCCCCTTCTCACTGCTTAAACGTTTCATTAGGGAACTTTAGCAAAGACGATGACAGCGACAACGAAAACTTCGAAAAAGTAATGAACCAAACAAAAACTTTTAACGCTATAAATAAGATTGCCAATAGGCGCAGTATTTTTGTCAATGCTTTCAAATCTCAGTAAGAAGTGCGTTGAAAACAGACAAAGTAACTCAAGATGCTTTTAAACAGTCAGGTGTCAGTAAACACTCGCACAGCTGAATTAACTTTCAGCCTGAAGGCGACTGACGTAACAAAGATTCTTCACCAACCATCGATCAGTTTGAATTATAGGGAAGCTGTCGAGAACTTGTAAATGTCAAAAAAGTAATTTGTTCCCATAAGGGCCAGGTAAATAAATCTGTTCTTAAACAAACGCAGTATCTAACAATAAACTGCTTTCCTATCCAGCGCAAGGCGTAAATAGTCATTTTTTTGAATTGTGAACCGTGTTTTAGAGTTTTACAGTTCTAGGGGTACTGAATCGTATATCCTTGCTGGTTTTTATCTTTAAGAGTGGCCACGTTTGCAATCTGTCTAAGTAGCGACCGAATGCACTAAATCCAGCCTCAGCGTGTTCTTATTTGCACAACTTAAATGAAACACGAATAAACCCTACAAGAGTTGTGATTTTACCCTGACATTTTTCGGAGAAAACCTTCAGCTTATATCATTTGAGTTAGATTTTCCCAATAAATTGTTTCAGTCAGTGTTTCTTTAGGGAAGTTAGTGGGTATTTCTCGCCGCGAATAATCGTATGTGTCGTACTTGCTTTCTAGTTCTTGTGTTCATTTATTTACTTCTAAGTAAGGATTTGAGTCTTTCTTGATCCTAATCCATAATTTCGACCCAACCGAAGACAAGTGGGAGCCAGTGTCTCAAATGCTGGAGGGAGAATAAAAGAATAATACTAAACAACCAAAAAGAAAGGTAAAAAAAAATAAATTGGATTTCTTTAGAAAAGAAGCCTGCTGACCAATCAGAAGCCGTTACAGTCGTTACTGAACCAACATCCAGCCCTGTGGTAAAACCGAATGCTGGTTCAGAGTATGAAGCACACGAGGTAAAGATTCTACCGCCAGATTCCAAAGCTAACGCCGTACCTAGTCACGAAGAGCGGCCATCACTCTCGGCTCTTAATGATTTACCCAGCGGGGTTGTTCAAGGAGGCGTGTCTACAGCAAGTTCCCCATCGCAGGTCAAAAATCCTACTGGGCCAGCGGTACTTCAACAGTCACTGAGGAAATTTGCCCCTTCCTTTCTTCTTGTTCCCAAACGACGCGTCTTGCACAATGTACGATCAAACGTAAAGGGAATCGTTCCTGGTAATTTTTAGTTATTATCATTCTATAAAACTAAAGTAAAAATTTAGTCAATTGGTTAACAATTGATCATCTAGTATAGTCAACTTAACTATTTAGCAAGTAAAACAAAGCTTTGAATTCATTTCATGTATCATTGCCTTGGGTAAACCTGTCTCACCCCCGAAGTCAGACTTATCCGCTGTTGGGTCTGGATCATTATGTAACTAAGGGATTTTAACACTGCTCTTATACATTTTCGTCAATTCTGCTCTGTGGTTTTGGCATGAAAGAGCTCTAACAGATATCAGATTGGCTGAAATAAATCTGTTTTATACAGGGATATTACTGGGCGTAACAAATAACCTTCCTTTGAGGTGGAATTTCATAAGAATCGCAGTGCACGTGAAATACATTCACGTCACGGACGGGGCATTTTATTATATTGCAATATTGGGCTAACTGGCGAAGACAAGTTCACATATGTATAGAGTGTTTTCACATGACGTCACGGCGGCCATATTGGTGTCCCAAAACAATGAAACGGCGGCCATGTTGGTGTCCCAAACCAATTCTCTGAGTTCAACTCTTTTCTCATGCAAACGCTTTCTGTTTTTCCAATAAATTTGCATAGATACTGGCCACGTGAGTGAAAACACTCTATAAAACAAAATCTCCAGCAACATTATTCCCCTTTCTAATTCATATATCTTTAAATAAACGCTAGGAACACCAATGGGTAGATTCAGAGAACAAATGCTTCATGCACATAACTTAAAGCGCCTTCTACATGGGGTACCACCCTTAACTGCAGACCAAAGACTCAACCGAGAGGCTCAAATGTTTGCCCTCAAGTTGGCACAGACCGGAAACATAACGCATTCTCTTTTAAACGAAAGGCCAGGTGAAGGAGAAAACATCGCTCTTCGCTGCTCTTTGACAGGTATATTCTGACGTATTTTTTGTATAACTCTGCGTTGCAAATAAATAAATGAATAAATAAATAAAGATGTTTAATCATCACATTCTATCATTTGTGTTTACAAAATACAGAAAATTACAAAAAACCTCATTGGGACTGGAGTATAATTCAATCATAGTTACTACAATAATTAAGCTAACCTGAAAGCGAATCGTAAACCAAGAATAACATGTACATTTAACTTTTAAAAGATATTGCGTTGGCCATTAGGATAGTACTAGTAAAGCAAAAAGCTTCGCCTGACAGGTTTACGTTTAAAAGACGTCCAAGGGTTAGAATTTCTATGAGAATTGTTCCCCGGGGTACACCGGCATTGTCTGACGGCCAATCTGAAAACACCTCTCAAGTTTTAACACGTTGCACCCCGTATTTTAAGCGATCAAAACGTACAGTGGCTCATAATCGTTGTAGGCACTTTTATTGTAACAAGCTTTCAGGATACAACATCAAGATTCAGTGGTCTCAACTCCCTTAACTATTAATAGTAAATGACGGATGAAAATTAGTTATAATTTTAACTGTAAAGTTTCCTCGGGAGAAGACCCAAACATGACAGTTAAAACGATTTAATAGATCACAACTTGAGCATTGGGGGCGTCCTATTAGTACATGCGTACTTAAGGTGGGTTTTCACCAAGCCTGAGATCCAAGAGGGCGTCTTCCCAGTCCCCATATGGATAAAAAACGAAAGAAAAAAAAGGCAGAAAAAGAAAAGAAAAGAAAGATCAGCAAATATTCAACTACCTTGAAGAAACAGTTTGGTCATGCAATGAAGGCTTAATTATTACATGGCCAAAACAATATTTTCTTGTGGGACAAAGCGGGAAAGATATCCCCATCTTGCAAGCCTGGTCGGATAGCCAATTAACACACAAAAACACAAGATTTACTTCTAGGCAGAAGTAGATTATTATTATTATTTTAGTAGATTATTTTACGATGGTTATAAAATAATATACTTTCAAGCCGTTTCCTGGTGATTAACTTAAACACTACTTAACGATATTTTCTTTTCTTTATGACAGGATTTCCTTTAACGGGACTTCGAGCAACAAATCTCTGGTATGATGAACGTAAAAAATTCAACTGGAATATACAATCATTAACGCCAAAAACACAGAGATTTACACAGATGATTTGGAAAAACACGTCAAAAGCTGGATTTGGTAGAGCTCGTTTTATAAATAAAGGTGCGTGACTTGTTTATTTTATTATAATAATAACCTTTATTTTAAGAGGGTGACACCTATTACTATGAAGCATTCTCCCTAGTGGCATGGCCCTCTAAAAACAAAATTGATGATAATAAATTACAACAATCACGATAAAAAGCCTATTTACAAATAGTAATTATGATATAAAACATCTTAAGAATTCCAGTTTTCTCCCTCCCTAGTGGCCCTCTAAAAAAAAAATTCATAACAATAAAATTACATTAATCATGATAAAAAGCCTATTTACAAGGTTAATCATTCAAGTATATTTTATTATTTATTAATATTGTAGTAACTTGCTTCCTAGATCTTCCGCGTAGATTATGTTTTTCTCAAAAACGTTTGGCCATTTCCTTGCCTATGCAATAGATGTTTGGTCTGAGCTTCATTGTCACTAGAGAATTTTCTTCAAAGGGCCGCTTTGATCCAGGAAACCTAATTTGAAATGGATACTTACGGACTTAAGCGATTTATCACTGTAGACACAATTTGAGACAAAAAGGGAACAACCCCTGGGCACAAGCCCAAGAAAACAGCCGGCATTTGGCGACGCTATAACTGGTTTCCCCGCCAAATCAAGTCTGAGAAAGGAGCGCAGAAATTTCATACTGATGACGCGTCACTACCCAGATCTGGGTAGTGCTTCTGACTGGCTGAATGAAATTTCCCACGCGGCACGACCAATCAGAAGCCCTACCAAGATCTGGGTAGTGACGCGTCATCAGTATGGAATTTCTGCGCTCGTTTCTCAGACGTCATTTGGCGGGGAAACCATTGGTAGCGTCGCCAAATGTCGGCTGTTTTCTCAGGCTACTGGGCATTTACTCTCAAGGGGCTTTTGAATTGCCTATTTCCCGACCAATCAGAAGAGTGGATTTCAAAATAAAAATACTTCTGGAACTCAGGTTCGGAAAGTTCCCCCTGGGCTCTCGCTTTTTTCATCTATACTTTGCCTGCGATGATTTTGCCTTTGAAATTCCGTCCCGATGACTACCAAATTAAATTGCAACACTGTTTTTATAGACAGTGTGTTCTACAGATTGCGCCCTTAAAACATTTTTAAGTTTCCAGTTAGTTTAATCCTGAAAACGGTTTTATAACCACAAGCAGTTGCTATATCAGTATTGGCCCCAGTGATTCATATTTAGCACATAGCAAGTATCGCGTTTTATTCAAGGTTGTTTTAAAATTGTTGAAAAAAGTTTTTGGCCATAAATCTCCCTCTGACTAACTATTAATTTGAACTTGACAGCTGGAAAAATTTGCTTCGTAGCGGTTGCCCGTTACGAGCCCGCGGGAAATGAGGCTGGAATGCTAATGGACAATGTCTTCAGACCCGTTCCCCGACGTCGCAGATCGTAGTTAATCTACTCTTTGTGTTGTTATTTTCAGTCCGGACAAAAACTTTGTTATAAAGAAAGGATGAATAAAAAATATCATTGGAAAGTGCACTTAGCTTATCAAGTTAGTTTCAATTACAAGCACTGTAATTAGAAACAAATAATCCAAATACAGCATAACAGGAATTAAAAAAACCAAATAGCAGGACAAAACCAGTTGGTTTTGGCCCAGGATTCCAACTCGGGACGACCGCGAACGATCCAGCGAGTGGCCGGCCAGAGCGGCACTCAAACCCGGAACTGACCACTCGGCCGCGCTTCCTCCTTATCTTACACGAATTGTTTTTCCAGAGGGACATTACCTTAACCACTTAATTGTTATAGTGGTTTTTTTCTTTGGCCACTAACTTATTGAATGGCAAAGTGCACCGGAGCCTTAAAGCAAATAATTTGATCTGTAAGATAGCTTAGGATAAAAATGATAACACTACTATTTCTGCAGACAAAAAAATTCAATTGAGAAATACGATCTACTTTATCGTTTGTTAATGTGCCTACTATTTTGTTTGGTTAATTTTTCTGTCTTTTAAAATGTAACATTAATGAGCTGACACACCGATAGTAACATGGCTCTTTTTATTGTACCATATATTGGGTCACTAACTATGATAAGCTCCTCATGCATTTTTCTTTCTAACTTTTTGATCCTCTCTTTGAAACTAATACTCCCCCCCCCGACATGCATGTACTGCATTTAGTGCTTGCGCGCAATGCAAGCTTAAGGTTATAGGAGCAACTAACTCATTAAATCATACAAATCATACAGGTATGACAGAAAAAAACTTTATTTGCCCCCGATTTTTAAGGCCTAGGGTAGGTATAAAACAATACTATCTGTACCAATCCGTGAGTTGTGTTAATCAGAAACCTGAATTTGGGGCATTTTCAGTATATTACGATGTTTCACGTTGCTATCATTTTATCGTTTACCCGCGTGAGAATCTCTTATTTTAGGTTTTTGAGGTAAGTCGTTTCTTAACTGCTGCTCTCATGCACTGTAAATGTTTGAGGGCCTCAGAATCAATAATCGAAAAGTATGCTATTAGGCTTGCTGGTCAAATTAACATAAGATTGCAGTTATCGCTAGCCTATTTAAATGCTCAATCGATTATTTGCCTATTAGTCATTTTATCAGTAATTGCAGAGTGTTTCTATCGCTTCTATTTCAGAGATCTAAATTTCCTTCCTAGAATGATTCTCTGCCAAATATATGTGTTACATCCAGCCAGAAGTGATAATTTTAACCATTAGCAAATAGTTTCACAAGGTGTAAATGCTGCTGCAGTGTTTTCTGAAATAATGAATAAATGCTCAATTTGGAAAATGAACTAGAAAGGGGGAGCAAGCTTCAATAGTTACGTTACGTACTTAAGTTTCGAATCATTTACTTTCATGATTATTTACTTGGATAAAATGTTTTTTCCCTTGGAAACACTTAAAGCAAATACAATATGGATCATGATCAGCATCAAAATTCGAGATCACTTTAGATGTTGTTGTTGTTGTGCGTTAGAGAACCTGTTTTTGGTCAAATCTTCATTTGCTGCATTTCGACTACTTGTCATGCTTTTTGGACGGAGGCCCTCAAACACCCTCCTCGATCTTGACAATTCTTCACATCCTACACTCAGTCTCATTCAATAATTGTCTTATTACTCATTCACAATATTTTCAAAACTTTTAAAGGAGAAGTAGTATTTTGGCAAAACAGTCGCCAATTCCTCTGCTGTTGTAAGACTTTAGATTCCCTTCGCGTGAGGAGACGTTTCAAAAAGCAAGCGACTTGTCTTTTTCGATTTTTTTTAGTGTTTTTGCTATTTTTATCATCGAGTAAATGGGCAATTTCTTCCTCGTTCATCGATTCAAATCTACTTTTTGCCATTTTCGCACTCTCAAGCTCTATATACATAGGCCGCGCCTGGAAACGAATTGCAACCTCGTTTCAATATCAATTATACCACCGATCAACATCGTTTGCAAGTCAATATACCATCGAATCGAGGGTATACTGCTCGTATCTTCCAAATTTGGTCAAAGCGAGAAGATTATAGAGAATTAGCCGGGGGATTTGAGCCAACCAGAAGCCTTGAAATATTATGAATTAATAATAATTTTGTTATCTACGCAGTCTGTTCCTGTATAACACTGAAACATTAGAAGTAGCTGTTAATAACGCGTGGGGAAAAAGAAAAAACAAAACAAAGCCAAAAAAAAAAATAATAGAAATAGAAATAGAAATAAATAAATAAATAAATAATGTCTTGTTAGTTTGTATTTATTTAGTTTAAAAAATTCTTTGACTTAGTTTTGATAAAATTGACCTGTTGCAAATCTTCACTTTTCTTCACTACGAAGCTCATAAATATAAAAATGTGTACAGAATGGTGCTTGTTGTAATAAAAATACAAAAAATGTCAATACCTAAGTTAACAATTGTTAGGGATGGTGAAAGTGTCACTAAAAATCAATTCTTCGCCTTGTGAGATCAAATTCAGTCTTCCTTGAAAAATATTTTGAACAGTCAAATGCCAACATTTTCTGGCCATGATTGCATTTCTTCCTTGATGCACGGTTTTTGAACAACAATACAAGTTTACCTATAATCGGATTGTACATCGCTATAGCTTTAATATTTGCGAAATATATATTTGTTTATTCACGCCTCAACGTAATTATTGTTTGCGCGACAATATTAGTAACCGCCGTTACAGAAGATATGCAATCAAAGAATTCAAAATGGCAACGAAACTAAGCAGCGGGTCTTGCAAAGAGGCAAGAGACTTTGAGAAGTACTTTGATTCACTGCGGTTATACTGAATAGAAAATGGCATTCCTTCCTTTTGTGATAAGAGATATCTGAATACGATTCAAAGGATTAAGAAACATTCAATAAACGTATAACACCTCCTCATTAAGCGGAAAGAAAAAAATTCTAACTGAAATTGCGGTTGTATACAGATGTAATACCAAGAAATCTCCAAAACATCATATTGCGTATCGCATGCAATAGGCGTGTGTCGATGAAAAGTACGTTTCATAATTTTTTTGCAACTGATTGCTTTTTCTTTAAAAGAAAAAAGAAAAAAAAAACCTGTTCCAGTCGAGTTGGCTTAGACAGCTGACGCTCATTTCAATAACAAAACCATTTTAAAATATTACTTTTAATATCTAGTAGTGGGAGAAAAACTCTGTCATATATTAACTGAAACTACCAGAGTCGCGCAAAAACACAGTTTTCAAAAGCCTCTATATCATTTATTGTGAAATGGTTGCACCCTGCCTAATAAGTATTTTTTTAGTAAAAGCTAGTTTGTTAAGAAAATACTTGCCTATTACAAATTGTTTGGAACTGGTGGTCAATTTACATTAACAAGATGCTGCGGCAGTTTTCGGTAAAAGAGATTAGATTGTTCCTCTTAACGATATCTCTAGATATAACGTTGCTTTCATCCTGATTGTTTTGCTCAATGATGCTTTTAATATCGCCAAATGAAAACCACTTTAAAAAAGTTTTCAAGGCATCCCGTCCTTTCTTTATTACGAGCGAAAGGAAATAATCTTTTTGACGACCGTTTCACCTGCCGTTTTGCGTTCAAATCGCATTTTGCTGTTTTAATCGTTCGATGTTTAATTTTTACTTTGGCGTCAAAACGTCTATCAAATTTGGACGGAAAACAAACGCTTTCTTTGATATTAATTTCCTTTCTGCATTGCTGTTTTTGCAATCGAATAAATTTGAAAGTTTCCTATAGTGTTTCTCAAATTAACGACGAGTGCCTTCGGAAAACGACTTTTTATATTTTGTTCTGGAAGATCTGAATTGCGATTCTCTTTATTCGCTTCTGGCCTAATTTCGACACTGAGGGTAATGGCAGGTGGCGAGGAGCGGATAAGATGGATTACCTCCTTGAGAATAGGCCATAGTCGTCTTCACAACTCTTAAGATAAGAGTTAACATATAAGGGTAGAAATTACCGCCTGCTGTGAATTTGTCCGTCGAACTTATGAACCCTCGAGGATTTCTGTCGTCATTTCGGCTACCATACACACTTTCATCGCAAAGTACATAAAGCTTGTGTACATATCAGTCAATTCTAAGGACAAGAAGACAGGTTTCGCTTACTCTTAAAGCTGCAATTACAATTCTGATGGCTTGACGACCAGTACTCTCTGAATTAAGGCTAACTTGGGAAAGCCAAGAAACATTCGATACCACCTTCGCCTCTTCTGACGGGAGGTTGTCCCGCGTCAACTTCAATTATATTCAGCAACTAAAACGAAGAGACACAGCAATGGCGTATCAAAATAGTTCGCTCAACGGCAATATCACGAGTAACAGCGATACTACCTCATCGACTGGGGAAGCCGTTGCCTTCAAAGTAATAAAAGTACTCTGTTACTCTGTAATTATGTTGATGTCGCTGGTTGGTAACACGCTGGTCATAACCATTATCTATCGAAACAAGAGAATGCGCTCTACGACGAACAATCTGATAGCTAATATGGCCATAAGTGATTTGCTGTTCCCGTTATTTGCTGTTCCACGCGAAACCGCCAAAGTTTTCGTCGGTACGGAGAGATGGCTGGTAGATGGAGTCGTCGGAAACATTTTGTGTAAAATTGTCCCCTTTTCGCAAGACATTTCAACTGCCGTGTCCATCCTAAGCCTAGTTGTTATAGCATTTGATAGATTTTACGCAGTCAAGTTTCCGTTCAAACCAGCCATTATAACGCCCAAGATATGCCGGGTCATCATTTCATTTATCTGGGCGGTAGCAACAAGCATCCATTCTCCGTACTTTTATACCTTCAGACTGGCCATAAACAACAATATCACGTACTGTATATACGCTTGGGAGCCAGCATTCAATACCATCTCAACACAGAAGGTTTACTTTTTAATTATCTTCAACGTGCTAATCCTATTTCCAATCTTTGTAATTACAATACTGTACACAGCCA